GTATGTATGTATATATATGTATATATATATACATATATATATATACATACATACATACATGTATATGTATATATATACATATGTATATATATACAAACATGTATATATACATGTATATATACATGTGTATATGTATATATATGTATGTATACATATATGTATGTATGCTATGCAATGCAATGCTGTGCTATGCAATGGCAGAGAAAGAGAGGGAGAAAGCCAGACCAACGCTATTTCTCCAGCGTGGTTCTGTTCTTGTCGCACCCCAGCGTGGCACATTCTTCAGCTTCATTATGTGCCCTCGCATATGAAGCCGCGGGGGTAGCCGAGGAGAAGGAAGAGGAGGGGGGAGAGGAGGGGGAGGAGGAGGGAGTGGAAAGAGGAGGAGGGGCAGGAGGAGAAGGGGGAGAAGGAGAAGGAGGAGGAAGAGAAGGGAAAGGAGGAGGGGGAGGAGGAGGAGGAGGAGGAGGAGGAGGAGGAGGAGGAGGAGGAGGAGAGGGCGCAATTTCTCCCGCGCAGACGCATCATGAAACAGCTTTGTGCACCAGCACCAGCTCCTTGTCAGGTGCTGGCAAGTGAAACCCCGATGGGGCGGAGGGGAAGGGGGGAGGGCGGGGGGAGAAGGAGGGGGAGGAGGAGAAGGACGAGGAGGAGGACAAGGAGGAAAAGGAGGAGAAGGGCGAGGAGAAGGAGGAGAAGGAGAAGGAGGAGGAGGAGGAGGAGGAAAAGAACGGAGAGGGCGACAGCAAACTAAGTTAAAACGGGGGTTCGCGACTTTAGCGCGATCACCCTCCGACGAATGAGGGATGTGTTTTTTTTTGCCTTGCCGATCCTCCTCGTCGAACTTGAACTTGAATATCGCCGCCCTGGCTGGCATCGCCTCGATATTTCTGGCGCCAGAACTCTTGCGCCGTGAGGGCGAGGCAAAGAAAACACACAGTCCTCATTTTCTTATTGTCCTTCTCTCTCTCTCCTCCTTTCTCCTCCTTCTCCTCCTCCTCCTCCTCCTCCTCCTCCTCCATCTCTCCCTCCTCCTCCTCCTCCTCCTCCTCCTCCTCCTCCTCCTCCTCCTCCTCCTCCTCCCCCTCCCCCTCCCCCTTCCTCCTCCTCCACCTCCCTCCCTCCTGGCGCGGCGCTGGCAGCGTTTGGCTAGCCTGCGAGCGCCGCGCGCGAGGGGCGCCCAGCGCCAATGGCGCAGCCCGCGCGCCTCTCAGGCGGACCGCCTGGGCGAGGGGGGAGGGGGGGGGCAGAAGGACGAGGAGGGAGATTCGCAGGGTCGCAAGAGGGCCAGGGCGGAGGGAGAAAAGGATGAGGAGGAGGGAATGGATGAGGATAGTAAGCGAAAGAGGAGGAGGAGGAGGAGGAGGAGGAGAAGGAGGAGGAGGGGGAGGAGGAGGAGGAGGACACTAGCAGCAGCGGTGCAGAGTAGTACGATCAGTCGAACGTAAGATCCGCTCTCCCCCACCCCGCCCCCCGCCCTCCCACGAATTCGAGGTGAATCCAGCCGCGGCTCGATCAGCTTTTCGGGCTTCAACTGGGCCTCGATGGCAGGGAGGGCGAGCGGGCGGGGGGGGGAAGGGGGCCCTAGGCCTCTTAACTCCTTCCTCCTGCCTGCTCCTCCTCCCCGCCTCCTCCTCCCCCCTCCTCCTCCCCCCCTGCTGCTCCTCGAGGAGACTGGTAGCAGCAGCGGTGCAGAGGATCAGTCGAACGTAAGATCCGCCCTCCCCCCACCCCTCTCCTCCTCCTTCTCCTCCTCCTTCTCCTCCTCCCCCCCCCCTCCCCCTCTTAGGTTCGCCACTCCCCCGGCCTGCCTTCATTCATCGCAGCCGTTTTGGCCGAGCTCGAGGCGAGCCGATGGGCCCGCTCGGGATTTTTTCTTTCGAGTACATGTCTCGAAACTGCTGCCAAGCAGTCGGCGAGTGCCGCGATGCGCTCATGCTGCACATCACGTCGAAAGACTCGTTTGAGTACGGCAGCAACCCAGGCAACGATTGCCTCGACGCGATCGCCCTCGGCCGCATCAAGGCCAACGCGAAGGTCACACACGGGGCAAACGACGTCGTCGATGGGGGCGGGAGGGGAAGAAGGGCGAGAAGGAGAAGGGGGAGGAGGAGGAAGATGGAGGGGAAGGAGGAGGCGGAGGGAGGAGGAGAAGGAGGAGAAGGAGAATGAGGAGAAGGAGGAGGGTAGATGATGACGGATAGGATGAGGACGGCGTCGAAAGGCACGGCGGCGTCAAAGCCTTCTCCTCCCCGCCACCTCCTCCTTATCCTCCTGACCCTCCTCGATCCTCCTCCGACTTCTCCTTCTGGCCCTCCTCGCTCCTCGCATCCCTCCTCCTCCTTCTCCTCCTCATTCCTCATTCCTTCTCCTTCTTCTCCTCCTCCTCCTCCTCCTCCTTCCGCTCCTCCTCCTCCTCTCCCCCCCTCCTCCTCCCCCATCCCTCGTCCGTCCTCCCCCCCCCTCCCTCGGGTGCGACGACCGACGAGCGACGCCCCCCCCCGCCCAAGTTGCTGGGCGCACTTGAAGCGGTCTCGAACAACCTCGCCTTCTCGCCCGAGACGATGAGGTCCGCCTGCATGCAGATGGCTGCGCAGAAGGCGGTGTCGGGTTCCAAGCCGCAGCGCAAGGCTTGGAAGTTCGAGACCGACGAGGAGATGGAGCAGTGGGCCGACCTCATGTCTCAAAAGTGCATTGGGTGAAAGTCGCGATCAGCTCACCTCCTCCTTCTCCTTCTCCTCCTCCTCCTCCTCCTCCTCATCCTCATCCTCGTCCTCATCCTCATCTTCCTCCTTCTCCTCCTATCTCCCTTTCTTCCACCCCTTCCTCCTCCCCCATCCGAGCCTCCGCCCTCCTCCATCCCTGGGCACCGACCCCCCGCGGCTCTCCTCCTCGGAGGAGGGGCGAGGGCAGGATAAGCAGGAGGGAGGAGGAGGATGAGGAGGAGAAGGAGGAGGAGGAGGAGGAGGACAAGGAGGAGGAGGAGGAGGAGGAGGAGGAGGAGGAGGAGGAGCAGGAGAAGGAGGAGGAGGAGGAGGAGGAGGAGGAGGAGGGGGAGGAAGTCATTTTCTTGCACCATCCACAGGTTGCGCTCCATGTGCAGGCACCTGTACGACCCGCTGAGGCGGGAGCGGGACCCTGGCGCTGGCAAGCATCCGAAGTGGCTCGACGAGGTCAGAGCGTTGCAGAAGGCTGCGCCGTCTTCATCTGCTGGAGCGGCTTCATCGGCTTCGTCGGCTCCGCGCGTGCGGAAGGTCGACGCCGACTGGGGCCCGTCGACTGGCATCGCGCATCGGTGCGCGTCGTCCGAGAGCCAGGGCTTCGCGTCGTTCGAGCCGACTGGCGACGGCGACACCGACGCGATGCAGGTTCGCTGGAAGGACGGCGCGATCTCGATCTTGAGCACGCTGACGGTCGGGGCGTGGCAGGCCCTGGGGCGCGGCGAGAGCGCTGTCGCTCGGTCCGCGACGAACGCCCTCGCCGTCTTCGAGGGCGCGGTCGGCACCGTCAAGGTGGAGAACAAGCGCCTGAACCCAGGCGAGGAGGGCGTCGTGCTGAAGATCAACGGCGGCCAGAAGCTCCAGCTGTCCCTCAACAAGCACAGCCACGAGAACGCGAAGACGTGGCTGATCGAGCGCGCGCCGAAGATGGCCGACGGCAGCCTCACGGTCGAGGAGGCCAAGGCGGAGAAGAAGATCTTCGACGCCAAGGCGGAGAAGAAGGTCACGGCACTGAAGAGGCCAGCAGCGGCTGCAGGAGCGCCCAAGGCCGACGCCGAGGGCGAGGACGAGGACGAGGGCGCGGCGACGGCGGCGCTTCGCAGGCCGGCAGCTTCGAAGGTCGACGGCGACGATTCCGCCGACGCGGAGGAGAGCGACAACGCGTCCAACAGCGAGGACGAGGGGCCTGAGGAGCCTGAGGAGCCCGTGGCGAAGCGCGGCAAGCCAGCGGCGGTGCAGCCTGAGGAGCCCGCGCCGACGGCAGCAGCGAAGCCCAAGGCAAGCGCGAAGGGGAAGGCTGCAGCCGCGAAGAGGAAGGACGAGCCCTCCGCGAGCCAGCGAGAGGCCAAGAAGGCCAAGGCAGCACATGAGCCAGGGGGCGCCGCCGATGACGCTGTCAAGATCGAGAGCTCGAGCAGCGAGAATGGCGGCGACGAGGCCAGCGACCCTGGCGGCGACCTCAAGGGGACCGACAGCTCCGAGGAGTCAGAGGCGGGCGGCATGCCGCCGCCGCCAGGCACGGGCGGCTTGGCTGGCTTCTCGTGAGGTCGGAGCCCAGCGAGTAGGAGAAGGAGGAGGAGGAGAAGGAGGAGGAGGATCGGGGAGGAGAAGGACACCGAGGGGGAGGAGGAGCAGGAGGAGAAGGAGAAGGAGGAGAAGGAGAACGCGAGCCAGTGCAAGAGCTTTCGGGCAGGCGCTCGACCTGCGAAGCGGCGCAAGCATCGCTCGTGCCGCGCCCTTCCGCTGAAACATCTTCGGAGCTCCTTGTCCTCCTCCTCCTTCTCCTTCTCCAGTTTCAATTCTGTTCAAGCCAGTTTTTCAGCTTAGCAGCGGTTTCGGACCCAGTTCAATTCAAGCGAGGACCCAAACCGATCGCATCAGCCAAGGACTCAACCCATCCCAATCCATTCAGGCTTGTTCCAGGATGACGAGGGTCAGGAGGAGGGGAGGGAAGAGGCTGAGGGTAGAGGAGGGGGGAGAGCGTGAGGGTGCGAGAGTGTAGGAGGGGCGAGGAGGAGACGGGAGAGGATATATATATATATAGAGAGAGAGAGAGAGAGAGAGAGAGAGAGAGAGAGAGAGAGAGAGAGAGAGAGAGAGATGTTACAGTAGAGCAGCAGTAGACAGTCAAGGGAGGAGCAGGGCTGACTGCGCGCCGCGCCAGGCGGAGCTGCTGCCGATGGCCCCCCGCCAGCGCCTGCAGCAGCGCCGCCGTCGCAGCCCCAGCAGTCGGCGGATCAGTCGCCGATCGCCGTCGCCGATTGCCAGATTTCGCCCCAGGTCCAGCAGATGCAGGCGCAGATCGACACGCTTCTTGCGCAGAGGGCGATGCTTGGGATGCCGATGCCGACGAGCCCGCTGCTTGGGGTTAAGCAGGACGACTTCGAAATGAAGAGCGAGGCGGGCGACGACGACGCAGCGGCCGAGGCGCTGGCAGGCGATCTTGCACAGGCTGTTGGTCCGCCAGCCGAGGAGGCAGCAGCCCCTGACGATGCAGCAGCCAGCGAGGAAGAAAGCGAGGTCCCAGCGGCGCAGGCTGATCCAACGCAGGCCCCCGAAGCATCGGGCAGCGAGGACGGGGGCGACGACCTGCCGCTGGTGCGCGCTGAGCTGGCTGAGGAGGAGGACATGTTCCAGAGGAACCAGCGTGAGCTCAAGCAGCTGAGGGAGAGGCAGGCGGAGCTGCAGCGCGTGCTCGAGATGGCCGAGGACACGGAGCGCCGCATCAAGAAGAAGAGGGCCGACCGCGAGCAGGCCGCCAGGGATCGAGGAGCTTCTCGGATGGCTGCGTCCCTCGAGCCAGTGCCCGTCCCCAAGCGCTCTCGCGTCGACGAGGTCCTGGGGCGCGGCCGCGACACGGTGAGTGCCGAGCTGGACGCCGAGCTGGCAAGCGGCCCATCGTCAGCCGCTGTGACGCCATTCCCTCGCCCTTCAGAGACGCCGCCGTCCGCGCCGATGAAGCAGCCCGTGGACCAGAAGAGCGCCCTGGCTGACATCTCGAATGCGGTTGCTGAGAAGCTTAGGAATGACCCCAGTTCCTTGACAGAGGACACGGCTGGCCATAACTTCGTACCTCGTGGGCTCGACACTGGGGCCGAACAGCAAGCTGGTGAGCAGGGGCCTCATGATGAGGCGTCCACCGACGAGCTCGAGACGATGTTGGAGGAGATGAAGGGAAAGCGGGGCGCTGGTGACGTTGAAATCCGCCTCGCTGTTGCCAAGCAGAGCTACAACTTCGGCATGCGCTCAGCCATTGGCAACAAGCTGGATCGGGACCTCAAGGCGAACCCCGCGAAGGCTTTGGAGTGGAAGCAGGACAAGAGCAAGGATAAGGAAGACTTCAAGAAAAAGTGGCTCTTGGAGAAGTGGAGCGAGCTGCCGACGACCAAGCGAACCTTCACCACCACCCACACCGAGGACTGGCGCGAGAGGGGCGAGCTCATGACCTTCCTCAAGATGGCCTACGAGGAAGGGGGTCCCGCTGGGCAGACGGACCCAGGTACGCTGGAGGCTTGCATGCGCACCGTCAAGCGTTGCATTGACCTCGGGTACCCATATGCCCAGCGGGACCCCCAGAATGGGGTCCTGAAGTTCCTCTACTTCAGGCTCATCTACCAGGAGAGCTTCAAGCGGGAGTGGCCGAAGACGATCGCGCAGACGAAGGGGCCGAAGGCCATCGAGAACGGGAGCTCTGGCACAGCAGGTGGAAACTCAGGCGGAACGGGGAGGCCGACAGGCACAGGCTCTGGCACAGGAGGCGGCGGAGGCACTGGCACAGGATCAGGCGCAGAAGGCGCTGGCATAGGATCAGGCCGTGGAAAGGGCAGCGGCCGTGGATCAGGCGGCGGCGGCGCCGCGGACGTGGTGCAGAAGCAGCTCGCTACCGCCAAGAAGCTCACAGAGGCCATCAAGGGCGCGCTCTCTGCTGGCAAAGCGATGCTGGATGACATCAAGGAGAAGGCTGAGTTCAAGTGGGCCAGGACCGACGAGGTGGAGGGCTTGATGGACGCCAAGGAGCAGGCGCTGCGCACGGCCGCGAGGAGCATCGCGCTGGCTAGCATGCTGATGTCGAACACGGAGCTGGCGCAGGCGACCGATTGAACAGGATAGGATGAGAAGGGGGGATGCGGAGAAGAAGGAGGAGGAGGAGGTGAGGGGGTGAGGAGGGCAGCGGCGAAGTGGATGATGAGGGTGAGGCTGAGGATGATGAGGAGGAGGAGGAGTGGGAGGAGGGGGGGGAGGGGGGACAGGGGGAGAAGGAGGAGGAGGAGGAGGAGGGGGAGGAGGAGGGATGAGAGGAGGGGAAGGAGGTGAAGGAGGAGGTGGACCCCTCCGCACCCAGGTGAGGCAGCGGCTGTCCGCCAAAGAGATCAGCTTGCAGTCGGCGGAGATCAGCAAGCTCGAGGACGGCCGCCTGCAGGGGAACGGTGCGGGTGGGAGGGTGAGGAGGCAGATGATGAGGAGGAGGGGGTGGAGGGAGTGGGAAAGGGTGAGAGGAGGAGGGGGAGGAGGAGGAGGAGGAGGAGGAGGAGGAGGAGGAGGAGGAGGAGGAGGAGGAGGAGGAGGTAAGGAGGAGGGGGATAAGGAGGAGGAGGAGGAGAAGGAGGAGGAGGGGGAGGGGGAGAAGGGGGGAGGAGGGAGGAGAAGGATGAAGAGGAGGAGGAGGAGGAGCAGGAGGGGGAGGAGGAGGAGGAGGGGGAGGAGGAGGTGGAGAAGGAGGAGTGGGAGGGGCAAGGAGGAGAAGAAGGCGAAGGAGGAAGAGGAGAAGGAGGAAAGGGATGAGGGAGGGGGCAAGGGGAGGAGGAGAAGGAGGAGAAGGAGAAGGAGAAGGAGGAGAAGGAGGAGGAGGAGGGGGATACCCATCCCTCCTCCTGGTCATCCATCCCTTCTCCTCCTCCTTCTCCTTCTTTTCCTCCCTCCTCTTCCTCTTTCTCCTCCGCCTCCGCCTCCTCCTCCTCCTCCTCCTCCTCCTCCTCCCTATTCCTCCTCCTCCTTGTCCTCCTTGTCCTCCTCGGCCGCTGCAGGATCCCGTCGGCTCCCTGAATGCTCTCGTTGCGAAGACCCACCGCGTGCACAATCTCATGGATCTCAAGGGCGGCGACGCTGGCAGCAGCGCGGGCAGCTCGCGCAAGAGGAAGAAGCAGGCTTAGGTAGGTTCTCAGATCGTCAAACCTGCAAGGGGGTGAGATGCAGAAGAGGAGGCTGCTGAGAGGGAGGGTGAGGAGGAGGTGGAGAAGGTGTTCTAGGGGCAAACGAAGGGCCCATGCGGGCCCAGGAAGGAGGGGGCAGGGTCCGACGAGCCAGGGGCTGCCTCGACTGGCCTTGCGTCAAGCCAGGGGTGACCAGAACACTAGGAGTCACGATTGCATGGGCAGCGGCGACCGCATGGGCAATCCGCGGCGCCGATATGGGTCACATGGTGTTGCATCCAGAAAATAACCGGCAGATTGCATGAAAATCACACCCAGAACGATCACTGATCTGATCACTGATCTGATCACTGATCTGATCACTGATTTGATCGCTGATCTGATGCGTTTACCCTGTTATTTATCAGGGATCGTACACTGATCCGATCACTGATCCGATCACTGATGGTTCACTGATCCTTTGCTGATCCTATAAAACCATCCCGACCCCCCCTCCTCCCCCCCCGAACCCCACCCCGACGCCCTCCCGACACCCTCCCGAAACCCCCCCCCCCCCCCCCCCTCCCACACCCCACCACACCACCACCACACACCACCACCACCACCACCACCACCACACCAACCACCTCCACCACCACCACCACCACCACACCACCACCACCACCACCACACACACACACTCCACCACACACACACACACAACACCACGACCCCTCCGAAGCCCGACACCCACCCGAACCCACCCCCTTCCCCCCCCCCCCGACGCCCTCCCGACACCCTCCTGACACCCCCTCATCCTCCCTCCCCTCCTCATCATTGTCCTCCTTGTTCACCCCTCCCCCCTTTTCTGACTGAGTGCAACACCATTCCCGCCCGTTTGAAGGGCAGCAGGGGCTGCCTTCCAGCCCCTGGGGAACGCATCCGAGGCGGCCGCCTGGATGCAGCTCCTGGCGCAGCGCGAGAGCAGTGCGCTAGCGAGCTTCGGGTGACACGGCGTCTCCTTTTCCTCCACCTCCTGCTTGGAGGGGGGGGGGAAGGGGAGGGGAGGAGAAGGAAAAGGAGGAGGGGGATCGAGGAGGAGAAGGAGGAGGAGGAGGAAGAAGAAGAAGAAAATGTCCCTGGCAGGATGAGGAGGAGGAGGAGAAGGAGAAGGAGGAGGAGGAGGGGGGGGAGGAGGGGGGGGGAGGAGAAGGAGGAGGATGAGGGGAGAGGGAGGAGAGGGAGAAGGAGAAGGAGGAGAAGAAGAAGGATGGGAAGGATGAGGAGGAGAAGGAGGAGGAGGAGGTCTGAGGGATAAACAGACTCCTCTCTCCTCCCTCGCCGCGCCGTCGTTGCCTGCTTCGACTGCATCGGGCAAGGGGCTGCGTTCCGTCGAAGGTGCAGGCCCCATGGGGCCGCGAACCCGCTTTCCCAGGGGGCCGAATCTGGCTCAGATCGACCCCATGGGGTCCGAATTTGCGCTGGCGGCTGCCCCGCCCCTCCCCCCTGGAGTCGCAGCTGGCGCTACCCTCCTGCCCCTTGCTCAGGCCTGCCCTGCTGGGAGCACGCCAAGCTACCCTTGCATCCTGAACTCTACAGCGCCAACCCCCTTCAGGACCTGGATTTCTGGGAGGGACATCACCGTGGGCCCCCAGGGCCGCCCGTCTCATGGGACACCGCAGGCGCCCGAGGTGATTGCATCTCGATTCGCGGCGGCTCCGTAGTAACTGGCTCGAGCGGGTACCATGTTTAAGCGGAGGCGAACTATCAGTTCCGTGCCAGATGATAGCGATGCAATTCGATATGCCGAGAAGCTCCTAGTGGATTTACAAACAATGTATTGCCAAGGCGAGATGACTGCTAAAGCATTATGTACTTTGGCACATACGGCATGGATGGCGGGGGCCTGATCTGACAATCTTAAGAGCTGGGCCCTCCCAAAGGGCCAGTCCAGTGGGCATTGCCAGAGACTCATCGACACTAGAATTGAGGAGCTCAACATTACACGCGTAAAGCCATTAACGTTGTGTGTGCCAGGGCAGTCAAGGGTTCGGCGTCGACGGACGGACCTTAGGGTCCAAGTAAGACCTATGCACGAATTGCTTCACGAAGAGATGTACGATACATATGGGTCTCGAAACGAAATGCGACAAGCCTTGCAGGACACAGAGCAGCCAGCGATTTACCATCAACACAAAGTTGTGAGGGATTCGTCTGGGGATGACATCGTTTTGCCATGCGCTGTATATTTAGACTCTGCTCAGTTTGGGGGCGCCGCGGGCGCTGGGCGAACCAAATCACAGCTCGTGGTTTCGTTGATCAATTTGTTGACGAGGCGCCGACATGTTTCGATAAGTTTCAGAAAACACCTCCAGTGTAAGTGCGGATGCCACGGACATTGCTCAACGTACCCACTGTTTGGTTTCATTCGTTGGTGCATCGATGCGCTCGCTGAGGGCGCGTATCCAGATCGGCACGTCAGCGGGCGCGACTGGCTTCCAGAGGATGGGTCTCGCGGTGATTTGGCGGGCCAGCCTTTTGGGATAAAAGCAGCAATATTATATATCATGGCCGATTGGGAGGCCATCGCCAGTTCGTTCTGCGTTCCGTCCTGGTCCCACCATTCGTACCCGTGCCCTCTGTGCGACGCGTCCATCGACACCCTCCACGAATACAGGACCCGATTGTTTCCGATGGGGAGAGGATGGGGAGGGAAAAGATGAGGAGGAGGATGGCATGGAGGGAGGGGTGGGGGTGGGGGGGAAAGGCCCGTTCAGGGCCAGCCTGTTCTCCGGCAGGAAATGCCGCGAAATCCCGCGGGGCCGCCCCCCCCCCTCCCGCCTTTTACCCCTCTCCCAAATCTTAAACAATCTCAGCCTGGTTCGGTCATCGACGGCGCCGTGGACCGTGCGCGAAGTCGGCGCGCACGACCGCGCGACAGATCGGGCAAAGGTCTGGGTCTATCTCGCTTCGGAGGCCGATCGGGGCAAGCTGGTTTCAGGGACTGATTTGCATTTCAACAGGCGTGATGGTGGGAAGGGGCTCACAGTTTCACGGGAGTTGCCGTCTATCAACCATGCCAGCTCTGTGCTGGAGGTTGGAGACGCGCTCGTGCCACAGACGGGGCTTCCAGATATAGCTAGCTACGCAGTAATGCCAACGCCTGGGTGGTATTATTTCTGGGGGCCTGCAAAGGCCACGCTGACGACAAGGCCAAATGATATGCTTAGTGCTCTTATCGGTGTGACAATATCAGGTTCCATGGCAGTTGTTTTTTTGCACACTGTCGCTTTGGGCGTCTTGGGTTCGATCATTCTGGAGACGGTTTGGAGAGCCGTTGATTCGGATTTCTTTTGTACGCATGATATGGCGAAGAGCATGCGAGAACAGATCGTATTCGACAAGATTATGGTGCATCTCGACAGCTGGTATGTTGAACAAAAGCGTCTTAAGCGGAACCCTGATCAGATAAAACCTCAATCCTTGGGGATTTTCGGATCTGCCTCGAGCCCTGCCCTCAAGTCTAAAGGAGGGGAGTCCGTGTGGTTATTCGAGTGGTGTGCGACGTCTTTCTTGCCAGAGCATGCTCGGTATTTATCGAATGGGGCTGGATTGCTGGCGTCTGCGCGAGCTCTGTTCGATTGGAGCCAGTACCTTCGGACCTTGCCTGATGTGCCCAACTTGGATCAGTGCAGGAGACTCGAGGAGATGGCACTCCGACATTTGATATTACTCGAGGGGGCGAAAGTGCCTCTCAAGCCGAAGCACCACCTGTTCTGGCACCTCACAGAGAGGACCTCGGGGACCAAACGCGCCAACCTCACCCGTCGCCGCGGCTGGATCGCGACAGAATTCTGGCTCTCACATCGGAGCTCGATCGAGCCGACCCTGGGAACACTCGTCGCCACGGCTGGGACCGCCTCTGAATTTTACAGTGCTCTTGCACTTCGGATGTCGCCCCTCGAGGCGGCT